TCGCGTTTCTGGAGTTAGAAGCCTGGACAAATCCCATGAGAACGTATTCATGTTGTAAAACAGAGTACGGGTGTTTTATTCGTCCTGGAACTCTGAACCAGAGCCCTCGCAGACGGTGTGACAACAGTGAGCAATCGATAATCGCGAACAATTGGCCACAGAGACAGAGAAGACCGGGATGGCAGATCCGGCTTATGTACTTCTGTCAAACAGCCATGGCGCAATCCCTAGGCCAGAATACCAGAGGTCTGGTTCTGGCTTCAAATAGACGTTGGCCCAGGTGATCAAATGAATATCGGCCCGCTAATACAAAACTAATCCGCGCGCGGACCTTGGAGAAAAGCTGGCCTAGGAAAACAAATAATCCAAAAGTGGTTCCCCAAATTTTCCTTGTCCTCTTCACTAATAACTGCTGGTGAGCGAATCGTTTGTTCAACATTTGAATGCAGGAACAGCCAAAAAACCCAGGGGCCTAATAAGCTACAAACCACCAAACCTAAGTTTAGGTTGCAATAAGCTGTGCCGTGACTTGGAGACTTGGTAATCAGGTAAACTTACTGCATTACTTTTTGAAGTGCAGTCTATGTTTCTTTCACCCGTTCATAAATTGTACGTTGTGCGAAGAAACTGCCTTATTCTGGTATGAAAGTCGCTGTCATGAGCGTTGCATATCTGGGCCACCACAGAGTCAACCAGGTAAAATAAATATGCTCATCATTGCTAATATTTAAAGTACTTTCCACGCCTTTCTGGCGGAAGTGCAGTGCCAGACCTTAATTACCTTTACTGACCTCAACCACCATAGGAAATGCTGTGTTTTTGATTAGAGGAATGGGAAGATCGAAAACGCACTTGTATACCGACCGCCAAAAACTAGTGAAATCTATCTTGAACCTCCAAAAATGTCAAGTTCTTCGGCCGCCCGCTTATATTTGAACCAAATCCGACACTTCCATCGCTCTTTGCCATTCCTGCCAATACTGTTTGTACCTAAAGTCATCCCTAATGTATCATTGCCATTTCAACGACGCAGCGTGAAACGCAGAGCTTCATGCATATGCACTTGTGAGTGATTTCCCCTCGTTGATCTGACCTGGAACCGCACGCAGGACTGCCCCTCAACGTGCGATTGAGAGCGTTTTCAGCACCGGTTTTAAGCGAGCATCTCTAGCACTCTCACTAATAAAAACCCAGCAGTCTGCTTTTAATCCCTATATCTGAAAGTGGAAAGATGTAATAGCCCTAGTGGGAAGATTAGAAAACTGCAGAGGAAATGAAAGACAGTGTTTGCGGGATTACTAACTTGGGATGTCCTTGCCCGCCCACTGGAGGTGCATAGCCAGCATTGAGTATTTGGTCGCCCCGGCTGCCCACATCTTTTCTGACAGTTGAACTGCGGCGTCCCAGGCTGTGTACGAGGCACCGAGGTTAAGCGTTATTGGGATTAGTCTGTGGAAGAAGAGCGAGCGGCTTAGTCAGAGTGTCAGCGTAAAACGTGCATAAAGTGCATCCGGACACGTATGGATGCTCGACTTCGTGCTATTATTACTAGGATCGTTTTTAAATAAATTCAGCATATTCTTCATTGTTATGCTTACGGTAGACTACCTGTGTATTCGGACAGTTAGGCGGTTTACAATGGCGCAATGTAAGTGCCTCATACATACGTGAGAATGTCAATTCTTTCTAAATGTGAGCTAAAGTTGGTTTCATTGTCATTTCCTAAATAAACAAAATTACGTTTCTTAGGCTTGTTACGGACCTCTCTCGATGGGACGAAAAACATCGAGGTCCAATCTGCTTTTCTGTACTTTTAGGCGCTCTGAGGTCATCTGCTGAATGGACAAAAATTTGGACGCCAATATGGCTTAGTTTCGAAAATGTGCTTTTGATCGTAATTTAGAAAGCGTAAAAAAGCATCAATAGGTTCTGACAGTCGGCTTTTTGCTGATTATGAACAATTGGATTCTAGTGCCAAAAACTGTCTTTAAGGTGGTAGAACAAGTTGAAGCCGCTAATTCATGGAATTTTACAGGTTTAGCAAGCGAAAATAGATAAAAAATAATATTAGCCATTCGACCCTCCAAAGTTAACGCACATATTTCCGGGCTAGCCCTTTCTCCGTTCTCAGTGCTGGACTTAGTAAGGATCCGTATGCTTCCTAGGCCCAGGACTAAGGGCCTCGAACTGAGATGTGGTAAGGATAGAAAGTCGAACATTTTGGCCATCTGACCACAGGTTGAATAGCAAATTAGAAACAAAAAGCCTTGTGATGCGGTGTAAGAAAATGTGATGTAGATAAAACTTCACACCCTGTCAGTGACAGGAGATGACCACAATCGGCGGGACGCAGGAATAGGCAATGCAGATGACCCTGTGCTATGTCCCTGGGAGATTGGTGCTTGAATTCAAAGTAGAGTTAGGGTTAAACTTGGAGTAGGGGTAACTTTAGGGTCAGGGTTAAGGTCTAGGCGAGGGTCAGTGTTAGGGCTAGCGTCAGCACACGGGAGTTAGCGCGAGACCACCTGTATTACAGGAGGTCTCCACTTCCGCGCCTTACCATGCAATCTTACGAAGATGTCCAGCGGTCATTCTTGGGTTGGCATGTAGGACGAATAGTTCTATTTTTCTAAACTTCGCTCTGTGTACAAATCTTTAAATCCCGAACAGACAATTTTATTTAGTTTAAGAACAAGGTTGTAGAAATTTTTCTGAATGCAGTGCCCAGGATCTCCAAACTGCGGCAGCT